GTTTTGCAGATAACATCTAACAACCTTGCCTTGGACAGAGTGGTTTGCCCACAGGCTCAGAACCACCTACGGTCCTCTCCCAGCAGGCTGTATCACCGAAATTGTCTATATAGGAATGAGGGCACCTGCCAGACACATTGTACCTTCAGATCCTTTGCTGACTCATTTCGTAGGTTGGAATAAAAGATCCACAAACACATTTTGTTGGCAAAAAGAGCTCACCTGTCCCTGTGATATGGGTATGACTCAGACGTCAGCGAGACTGGAAACACGAGGCAGCATTTGATTGATGCTCTGGGGTTGAGAAGGTCAATTTCTACTCGTTAATGTATCATACGGCACTGAACAAGTTGCTTGATTAACCACTAATCAGTTTCCTGGAGACCGGAGAATCCATATAATCCTTTGAAAACAATTCTTGGATAGGAGGCATGGGACTGCACTTTGGACCACGCAAGAGCCAGCAGTCACTGAACGCCTTTTGCAAGAGATTGAGCTCAGTAATTTCTACCCATTCTTTTTCTCTTTTTTTTTGGCTGCGTCAGGTCTTAGTTGCAGCACGTGGGATCTTTGTTGAGGCCTGCAGAATCTTTCCTTGCAGCACGGGCTCTGTAGTTTGCGGCACGCGGGCTCTCTCATTGAGGCATGCAAGCTCAGTAGTTGTGGCACGAGGGCTTAGTTAGTTGCCCCGCATCATGTGGGATCCTAGTTCCCCAACCAGGGATAGAATCTGCATCCCCTGCAGCGGAAGGCAGATTCTTTACCACTGGACCACCAGGGAAGTCTCCATCCATTCTTTTATTTAGTCCTTACAATGAACTGGTAAAGGACATGAAGGTGAGAAAATTGGGGCTCACATCAAGTACTTCAAGCTAAGGGGGTGATGAGGTCATCAGGCACCACACCCTATGCTTTTTCCACCATGCTGCTTTCATATTGGGAGTTTATGGATGAGTGCAGGCAGGGTTGTGGTTGATCCAAACCCCAGTCATCCCTGGTTAGGTCTTTTGAGGTGAAGCGTGAGCCCTGGGGACTTTGGTCTCACAACTGTCTTTGTAGACCTGTTTAGGAGAGGGTGCCCTCTCAGCAGTAATGCATGCCTTTAAGAATATGTTCCAGGGAGAAGGCTGAACAAGTTACACCAAAGGGAGAGGAAGTTGGGAGAGGAGGTACAATTGTTGGCTTTTTAAGACAACTAGAAATATACTTACCCTTTTAATTATACTCTTCTACCAATACATCATCATCCAATAGTTTTTTTAAATTTGGGTTTAGATTTGGAAATCAGTACTTGTAAGAACCGTCCATGCATTTTAGAGTAAAAAACAGATGAAGTTATACACAGCTTTTCTCACCTTGTTTAATGTTATCAAAGCAAATGACAAATGTGATGGTCTAGGGCAAAGCAAAAAAACTAAAAGATACATCCATCTACTTTTTTTGTCTAAGGAACTGTCAGTGACTGTTTTTCATTGGAACAGAGAACAATTATAGATCTGTGCTTAATAGTTAAATTTGATTATTTTTATATAGGCCAACCTTAAAATCAAGGGCTCCTTGAGCAGGTTTGAACCTGAAGAGTATTATGTTAGAATATATTTTTTAGGAATCAAATTTCATTTTAAATTCTCATCTGGAGAATCTTTTCTGAAGAATTGAAGAGCCTTTCTAAAAGCAAATAATCATATCTAATGTATCTGTTTAATAAGCTTAGGTTTGTTTTTTTTTTTACACTCATATTTCTTTAGGATGAGTCACATATGTTTGGGTCAAGTTGCTACACCATGTTACTACAAAGAAAATCTTCGGGTTTTTTAAAAGTCAATAAATGACTTTTTGAGTAATTATTATTGACTAATCTCAGAACCATCACATCAGAAGTCCAAAGGATAAGAGAAGGATCTCATAATGTCTGTCTCATAACGGGGCCCATCATGTATTCTAAAATACGCTAATACTAGTTAACCTGAGACTCTACATGATTGAAGACTTCCTGTTGAACAATGGGTTCAATGTTGGTAGGTTTTCAATAACAGAAAAGGAAGGAGAAAAATAAGGCAAAGGACTAAATCAAGAAAAATGATCCAGGCAGAAAAAACTCAGGAAAATGTGTAATGTAAAACAAACATTTTAAGAAAAAAAAAGAGCATGTTTCTCCTGGTAGTGAAGAGTGTTGTCATACTTGTAAGTGAAAAAATATTTTTGAACGGAAAATGGATCTTAATTCTGCTAATAAAGTATTCATCAGGAGCATGGTGTGTAAAAGTAAGAATTAAGATGTGGGGGGGTTTTTTGAAAAAGCAAGCTAAAGGGAAATTTACCCTATAAAGAGAGAAAGAAAGGCAGGAGCGAGGGAAGAAGTGAGGAAGTTGTACAAATAGGGGAGTTGAGATCAGGAAGTAAAGGAGAAGCTTGAGTACCAGTGATTCTCAGGAACGGTAGTTGTGACTGTCAGCAATGACCAAGCAAGGCACCTCTCGTGAAATACTGGAAACAGGCAAAACAATAGATAATAGACAGCAAGAATCATAATCAGAGAGAAGAGAAATTGGACCTTGATCAGCAAGGGGTTTCTTATCTGCCCATGTGTCCTTGAATGTCTCCCTGGAGAGAGAACAGGACAAGTCACTTGGACCAGGTTGCATCAGTTCCCAGGAAACTCAAGTCATATCTGGAGCCTGTACTGACCTTCATGAGCTGTACGACCAGTTGATCTGAATGAGGTTTTGTGCACATTATAATTAAGAGTGTTCAAAGACAGAAAGCTAGTTACAGTATCAGAAATACCCAGAGTATTTTGAGCCAGAAATCCTGAGCAATGATACCTCTTTTCCTGGTGAATATGCCAGCCCTTTAACGCCAGGAGAGAGAAAGAAGCATCAACTCAGGATGTGTAAGCCCCTAAGAAGAGGTAGTACGGATTTAGGTTTCCAAAACAGTAAGAACATGCAGCATGCAGTTTGACAAACCTCCGTAATTTAAGTAAAGAGAAAAGAATTTCTAAAAATACCAGACCTGAGTGGGGGAAAGCCTTCGGGAAATTAATCAAAGGGACCAATACATTATTATGTGCTCCCTCCCCACCAAAGCAAAAAAAGGAAAAATCTACACATATATTTAAGTCCTTGGACTCCTCCTCTAAAGTGTTTGGGTACAAGCTATAGATGAAAACACTTCTCACAAAACTCTATTAGAACTTAAAACTTTTATGAATATATAAAATGTAACCTCATATTATTAAACTCTACCATGTAGTCAGGTGCAATATTAATAATTCAAGCTTTTTTTTTCAAAATTGTATTGAAAGCAATAATTTTTGTAACAATCTGAGACTGGTTTTACCAGGTGCTTTGCCAAGTTTGAAATGGTTGGGGAAACTACATAAACACAGCCCCACTTCTTTCTCATCCTTTTCATCTTGCTGACACTTTTCCAGAGAATCATTACCAGAGTGCTTTGTGCCATTCGAGATAAGAGGCTATCTGTGTTTCCACTAGAAACCTCTATTTTCCAGACTTTATAACTCATCCGTAAATATTCACTCCAGGCAACAGTTTCATATATTATGATTCTGTCCCTCAAAATTCATATTGACTTAGCTAAGTGATTTTTAGAAATCATGAGGACTCTTACACTACAAAAAGAATAATAAAAATCAAATGCAAATACAGTGCTATGTTTCAGTGGGTATGATTTGAGTCAAAATACTGTGGAATCCATAAAACACATGCACATGACTCTTTCCTGGCAATCCTGTCTTTCAGGGTATTATTCAGTTGTAACAAAATTTAATTTATCAACAGTAGGTCTATTAATTAATTCAAAATGTACATTTCCAATTTATTTCTGTTTCTATAAAGGCAGCTAGATTTGAAATTATATTTTTTCAACTAAAACTTTTGTAGAACTTCCTATTCACACTACTTTTCGTTACAGAATTTGAAGTCAAATTATATCAGAAGTTATGAAATTATATGACATAAGCTTTGAATACAATAATACCCTTAGTACCTGCAAAAATATTTTAAGAGTCTTATCAATATCTTATATTCAGGTGGTTTCTAGCTCCATGGTAGAAACCTCAGCATTCTAGAGTTGTTTTCTACCTGAAAAAAAAAGATCTTACAAATTTAATGTTTTTATGAAATAAGAGACCAAAATATACTATTTCCCCCAGTCTGGGAAGATAGAATTGTAAAGATTAGGGAACAGAGACTAAAACCACATCAACGCATTAAAATGAAATACAATCAACCCTTGATATCCATGGGGGATCGGTTTCAGGATCCCCTTGGATACCAAAATCCAGGGATGTTTAAGTCCCTTACATAAAATAGTTTAGTATTTGCATGTAACCTATGCACCTCCTCCTGTGTATTTTAAATCATCTCTAGATTACTTATAATACCTAATACAATGTAAATAGTTGCATAGTTGCCAGAGTATGACAAATACAAGTTTTGCTTTTTGGAAATCTCTGGTTGGGGGCGGGCGAGTTGGAGGGGATTTTCATTTGTTTTTAACTTAATTCAGTGTTGGTCAAATCCACTGGATTCAGAACCTGCAGATACAAAGAGCCAACTGTACTCTCTTCTTGATCTCATCATTTCCGTTTTCGTACTCATGGATTTACATTGCTTGAATTAAATGGTCATCTTGTTACACTGTGGAGCCCAGCTGTGTGTGTGAAATGCTATTTAGCAGGAACTGAAATAAATTACAAGAATTAACCTGGTGGGGCTTCCCTGGTGGCACAGTGGTTGAGAGTCCGCCTGCCGATGCAGGGGACACGGGTTCCCACACGTGTGGGAAGATCCCACATGCCACGGAGCACCTAGGCCCGTGAGCCATGGCCGCTGAGCCTGCGGGTCCGGAGCCTGTGCTCCGCAACGAGAGAGGCCACAACAGTGAGATGCCCACGTACCGCAAAAAAAAAAAAAAAAAAAAAAGGCACTCAAAGCCTAACCTAAAGTGTGTTTCTCTTTCTTCTTTTCGAACAGCTATTTTGTGACAGTAAAAAGGTGGTGCATGCCACAGAAGGGCTGGATTGGGAAGACAAAGATGCTGCCGGGACACTGGTGGGAAACGTGGTACACTCAAGGATCATCAATCCTCTGCGTCTGTTTGTTAAACAGTCTCCAGTCCCCAAGCCCGGGCACTTGGCGTATGCGGACAGCTTGGAGAACTTTTGGGATTGGCTGGCCAATATCACGGAGGTTCAGGAGCCCTTGGCAAGAACTAAACGGAGGCCAATAGTGAAAACGGGAAAATTTAAGAAAATGTTTGGATGGGGCGACTTCCATTCCAACATTAAAACTGTTAAGCTCAACCTCCTTATCACGGGGAAGATCGTTGACCATGGAAATGGAACCTTCAGTGTTTATTTCCGACATAATTCCACAGGCCTGGGCAATGTTTCAGTGAGTTTGGTACCCCCCTCCAAAGTGGTGGAATTTGAAGTTTCCCCACAGTCTACCTTGGAGACCAAGGAATCCAAATCTTTCAATTGTCGCATTGAGTATGAAAAAACAGATCGGGCGAAGAAGACTGCCCTGTGCAACTTCGACCCGTCCAAGATCTGCTACCAGGAGCAGACTCAGAGCCACGTTTCCTGGTTGTGTTCCAAGCCCTTCAAGGTCATTTGCATCTACATTGCCTTTTACAGTGTTGATTATAAACTTGTGCAAAAGGTCTGTCCTGACTACAATTACCATAGTGAGACTCCATACTTATCTTCTGGCTGAATCTTTCTACAGCCAATAGAAAGGAAGGACAAATATATATTCAATTAGAATGACCAAGAACCAAGCCCAGCTCTTCGTGGTAAAGGATCCCTTTTGTTTCTGGCAGTGAACCTTCATTCCCTATAAGGTTTTCAAACTTAAAAGAAAAAGAAACATCTTTAAATGTGAATTGTGTTTGTTTCGATCATAAGTACCTGAATCTAAAGAGTAAAACTGTGTATGAAGCCATCGCTCTCACATAGGATGGCTAAGTCCTCCAGGTATTGTTGTTTCTCTAAGAGCCGATGGTAGCAACATGTAACAGGAAAGAACCGAATCATGCATGTGATAAACATTGCTCTTGAAGTGAGCCTGCCTTTGAAGTGTGTTTTGGAAGATTACCTTAAAAATAGCAGACGCAGTAAAGCAACTGAAAAGATTGTATTGGGTAGATGAATCGCATTTCTGACACGGAATTCTTTTTTTATTGCTGTCTTTTCTCCCACATCTGTGCTGTCACTGATATGAGAGATGAAGGGGTAAAATTTGTTTCAAAACTCATGTGTGCAGGTACAGTGCCACAGTGATTGAGTGGAGTGGGATTTAAACACTTAGCCCTGGTTTGGTCACCAGCCTCAGGATTCTCATGCAAGTAGTAACATTAGTGTATTAAGAAAGCAAATCTGGATATATTGTAAGTCAGTTCAACAATAATGATGATCAGGATGTTTTTAGATTGTTTCGTCAAATTCAGTGCTGTGAGGTGGTCAACAATATCATAAATCTGTATTCACCCTTTAACCTCATTCTATTCATTTGGTAGTATGATTTTTATATACAGGTGTAGAACAACTCTTGAATTGAGAGCAAGTGATTGTTTCCTAGGCTAGAATGGGAAAGAAATTGGAATTGGAAGGAGGAAATTCTGGGATGATCTATTCATTATTTCTAGCCTCTTAGATTAAGTTCTCCTTGCATTTAATTATTTACATGAGGGATCAAATTGTGGAAATAAAGAGTATATTTAAACATTGCTAATTATTATTAAGTGTTAATAACCAAGATGCATGATTCATCAGTCTTTTGAGATGACTTCCTAATAATGTTGCTTCACAACCCTGTCCTCCTCATCTTCTCTGAGGGGTCAACGGTCATCCTGTGTCATAGAACTGGATGGTCTTTGAATTAGCACAGAAGGACAGTCTGGCTGACCAGTACAAAGGTTTCTAGAACCTGTAAGACTCATGGAATGGTTACTCTTTTTTACGATAGACGTTAACTTTTTTCCCCCTTCTTACCTGAAAAATATCAGTTAAAGTAAAACATTAAATTGAGGACTAAAGGAAGACCAGTCCTAACCAACAAAAATGCTCTTACTACATTGTTCAAAAAGCCAGCAGCACTCATCTCTATTTTGCATCTCCATTCCTTTCCTTTTCTTGGTGATATCTGCACAGTGTTTGGTTTTTGTCTTTTGTAAAAATTGTACTAGACTTAGTGTGTGGTAGTACAGGCTTGAAATTTTTGCTCTGAGTTCATCGGGCGCTTTTGTAATTTTGTGGTTGGTGTGAAATATTTTGAGACATCTTTTTATTTTCACGTAGAAACAAGATTAAAATACTATTTATTGTAAAATATGTGGGAACCATCTATGTATATAAACTTAGAATTTTCTGTGTACAGAGAAAGTATGTGTACACATTTCTATGTAAATAAAAAGAATTTGCTAAATCTGTCACATGGTTTCAGGGTTGTTGTTGTTTTTTAAGACTGTTCTTGTTTCTTTTCCTCACAGTGGTTTAATGTGTGTGCTCGTGCATGTGTGTGTGTGTGTGTGTGTGTGTGTGTGTGTTTTATCAACTGAGCATTAAGATTTTCCATATGTTCATATTAAACAGAACAGCTGGGCTATGGATATTTTAAAGTGGAGTAAAAGAATAACTCATATAAACCACTTGACACATAGCTTGGCATCTAGTAAGAATTCTGTAAGTGTGAGCTGCCATTATGATTATTATAATTATTATTACAAATGAAATGTGATTTAAAACTATCTGATGTTCAAAAGTTGAGTGGTATAAACATTATATGCATGCCAAAAAAAAAGCTAAATCAGTCTACACAATTCTTAGATTTTAGCAGGATCTGTGGAATTAAAAAAAAAGAAAGAAAGAAAGTTCCCCAGGCATATTTTTTAATTGGCATAGAAAATATGCCACATATATTTTTTAGTCATAATTTCATTTCAAAGCCTACATCATTGCCATTAATGGTACTTGGCACAATACAAATCAGATCCCATTTAAACATGCAAATGCACACATTTCCACAAAACCATTTTTGCCTTTTAGTACTTCAATTGAGGAAAGGGACATTCATGTAAGCTAATTTTATACCCAATCACAAATTGTTCAAAATGTAAAGGAGAAGTCCCTTTTAAAAACGAAAATCAAACTGATAGATGAACACCTGAAAACAATAAAATGTGTGTCAATTATGCCTCAATAAAAAAATTAATTTAAAAAATAAAGCACTAGCAGAAATTTAATCTTCAAGGAGGTGTTAGTTATCTTCTCAGGATCTCTCTAGGCCAGCTGTTTACGAGAAAGCAAACGAGTTTGAAGACCTTTTCACCCCTCAGCAGAAACAATCTTGTTACTCATCACCACACAGAATCAGAAAAGAGGTCATGTTTCCATGACTCTGGACAATGTGATCATATCAGCTACAGGGTCTGTAAAATCTGGGGAAGGGAAATAAGAGGAAAAAACCTGTGGACACCATGTAGCACAGCATAATCAGTAAAAAGGAAACAATTTTCTTTCTTCCTACTGCTTGGTACTTGGAATTTCAACACACTCTCATGATCTAGAATAACAGAGCAAGAGTGAGTATGGTTCTCTGGCGTGGGTACTCATAAGAGAACCTGATTCATATCAAATTATATTTTTTAATCTGTATTCTGCAACACTGTGCTTTATATGACGCAGATGCTACATGACCCACAATTGCTGCACCTTAAACATTCCACAATTGGCTAATTCTTTCTCCATTCAAGACATGGTTCTGCTGAGTAGGAGCTGCCATTAAGTGCAGTTGGTACATCAGCAGTACTACCTGTAAGCTTGTTAGAAATACAGAATCTCAGGTCCTACCTCGGACACCCAATTGGAGTTTTCACTTTAACAAGATACCCGTGTGACTTGTATTGACATTAAAGACTGAGAAGTACTTCCTTAGAAATTCTGATTTAGTAAATGGAATTAGTAAATTAGGAATTAAGGATCTACATCTTAAATAAGAACCCTAGGTTGTGCTGGTTCCAATAGGCTTCTGACAATACTTTAAAAAAATGTTAAAGGAAACAGACCCTTTTAAAAATGAAAATTAAACTAACAGATTGATAACCAAATAAAGAAAGTAATCAAACCAACATGAACATATAGAAGAGTAATATTTCAAAGAGATTACAGCCTATACTATCTTCTGGTTCATCCCTCTCATTTGACAGACAAGTAAAACCAAGACCCCATCAGAGTCAAGGACATGTCCAGTTGGTACGTGACAAAGCCAACTGAAATGCAGGTCTCCTGACTCCTCTTCCCAGGTCTTGTGTTACAGAAGAAAGGTAAATTGAAGCAGATATTCAAAACAAAACAAAAATAATTGGGGCGAGGTTATTACAAGATGTGATCCAGAAGCCAAAATTGAACATGAAAATGGCTGGAAATGCTCTCTTTCCAAAATCCTCAGGATAGTGATTTCTCTAAGAACACAAAATTTTTTAAAGCTAAAACTCTGGAAAAATGAAGTCAGAATAAAACCATTATGTCCAAAGATGAGAGTCCTGGGATGTATTAGAGGTATGACTGGCTAAGAGTTAACAGCAGTTACTACATTCGACAGAATTTTCAACTGATTTTAACACCTGAGAATACATTTTCATAGAAATGGGTAAATTGTGTGAAATGCCTTAATTACCCAAGGGTCCAATTTTACTTCATAAAATAGAGGATGGAGTCATGCATTTTTACTTGCAGTAAAACTATCGTTAACCCCAAGTTAATTAATCAGAACATTCAATGAATGGAAATTTCATGTCTCCAACTGTCAGTGACAAATCACAGGCAAAGAAGCTCTTACTACAGATTTTTTTTCTTCATAAAAATCTTGTAAAAAATATTCAAGGGTCATTTCATATTTACCTCATGTCCTACCCCATAACGCGAGGTCTGGAACCCTGGGAATGTATCCCGTTCTGCTTCACTGGTCGTCTTCCCTTCTCATCATGCTGCTCAGCTTCCCCATAAATAGCCCATAATCTCTTCTCAGAAAGAATGAGTTAACTGTGTCCGCTACAGCACTGGGCAAAGTGTCTGGTATGTAGTAGGTACTTAGTCAAGATCTGTCACTCGATTTTCTTAAAATCTCCAGCGAAAAAACAGTGATTATTCAAGACCCCCACTACCCACCTGAGTTACCTCATTTCCAACATGAAGACCTTGCTCCAGCTGAATGCGATACCTGTTGAATGCTAGCTCCCAGAACCACAGAAGCTTAAAAGATGGGAACACTCTAGAATAGGTTTTCTTTATCAGATAAAGAATTGGTGACCTGATGAGGTTCAACAGCCTTTTTTTTTTTAGCTATTTTTATTGTTCTTCCTGCCTGGATAAAGCCATTCTTTCTCTTCTTTATTCCTCCGAATCACTGATTTTCCATATTTGTGATAGAGACTGTCAGCTGTCCACCAGGACGGGGCCTTCTCCTCCTCGCATTGCAGTGGAAGGGTCAAGGGTATTGCTGGACCACTAGACCGCATGACCCTGCCTCTCCTGCAGTGAGGTATGGCCTGGTTGCTGAGCTACAGCTAGTATAATGTGAGAGGAAGACATGTGTAGACTTACCGTAAAAGCACATTCAGGCTTGCCAATGCTCTTTTCCCTTTGGCTGTCTCAGATAGGTGACCTAAAGGACCTGAGATGCTGCCTAGAAAGGGGGGGCAAAACAACTGTCCATCTGAATGTCTTTCCAACCATGGAAGATAGCCACCCAGCTAACTAAAAGCCCACCCTGGATGGCTACAGAACAAATAAACATGTATATTATTCTTTAAGCCACTGAATTATTGGGATGGATTTGTTACTGCACCTTAGCATGAGCTTAACTAATACAAATATTGCAAAAGATCTTCTCTATGTGCTCTAACCCACTATAATCTCTATGTGAATTATTTCAATCTATGTTAGGCATTGCAGTAATAATTTCATACACACAACTTTTAGCTTGTGTTATTATTTATACTTCATGTGCTCTGTCATCCAATTCACCAAAGCCAGAGATCACATTTTCCACTTTTTTGGGATATCCTACAATGCCCAGATAAAACTATTGCCCTTTTTTTTTTTTTTAACATCTTTATTGGAGTAAAATTGCTTTACAATGATGTGTTAGTTTCTGCTGTATAACAAAGTGAACCAGCTATACATATATCCCCATATCTCCTCCCTCTTGAGTGTCCCTCCCACCCTCCCTAT